TCATTTAAAAAAAACAGAAAAAATAATCTTCAGTGATACTATAATTTCTAAAATTATGAATAGTATTACTCAGTAATATTTAAAGTAATACACTTCATAGATTTTAGAAAATATAATACCATTTGAAGAGGGTTTGATCTAAACTAATGTTTAGAGTGGAATATGGAATACCAATAAAATGTTCTTGAGGATTTAATAACGTTCAATTAAGCTTAAATTCATAAGAAAATTTATTAGGTGGTGGTACTGGTTTGCGTCATATATCGTGTTCATCAAGATATAATCAAGAAAGAAAATCCATGAATATGTACATTTTGGGAAAAAAATAAGTAGTTTTATTTCTTCTATTTTTAGTAATTAACGAGATAAAGATTTGAATCGGACAACCTCGGAACGGGCAAGGCAACAAGTGGTGTCTTGAGCTTCAAGACAATCCCAAACTTCTCTTCCAAATCCACCACATGTCCTTTTGATATCTTCCAATCGAACGAATGCAANAGCGTNGCNAGAGTGTACAAAACCATCCTCTCGGCGAGTGCTATACCGGCNCAAATTCTNCGGCCAGATCCAAACGGAAGGTAGCTATAATCGGTTCCGGTGAAATCACAAGATTTATCAAGAAACCTCTCAGGACGAAACTCACTCGGATTCTCCCACACGTTTGGATCTCTCTGAATAGACCAAACATTGATGAAGACCTTAGTGTCTTTAGGAACCGTGTAGCCACCCACGACTGCGGTTTCAGTGGGACGGTGAGGGACTAACAAAGGAATGGTTGGGTGAAGCCTAAGTGTTTCTTTCATAATGGCTAGCATGTAAGGAAGACTAGTAATGTGTGATTCTTCAACAATGTTATCTTTGCCTACAACTTCGTCTAGCTCTTCTTGCGCTCTCTTCATCAACTCCGGTTTGCTTATTAGCTCGGCCATCGCAAACTCTATGGTATTTGTCGATGTGTCCGTGCCACCAACCACCATATCCTTCAAATAAATATTACAAACACAATGATCAAATCGCTCTCATGAACAAATAAACATCTAAGATAAATATTCTCATCTAATGATCGTATATCATCACATGATCAAATCACTCTCATGAACAAATAAACATCTAAGATAAAGTACCAAAGCTCTAATTGGTAATCCGCGGATATGGCTCGAATGATTCTGCGGTTCCGCCCGATAAAGATATATATTCTCATCTAATGATATTATACAGATACTCAGATTAATCTACATATCATACAGTTGACATATAAATTCTAATTGGCCAAGAATTTGATTGGTAATCCGCGGAATGACGAAATGGCTGAACCGTTATGCAATTCCGCATGATTACCAATCGGAAAGTTATGACTTATCATGATTCCACGATCCCATTCCCATTCTTTTTTCCACTTTCCAAAAATATACTACCCTCCCAAATCATTATATTCTATAATTATGAATAATGAAACCACTAATTACCGCGAGAACGGCTTTGACATGGTTAAGCGTTATAGGAACCTCCGAGTCATTTTCTTGGTCCTTTAACTTCATCAAATGTTGCAAAAAGTCTTTACATTCACCATCATCATCATCTCTGCCCCTTAGCCTTTGCTCTTGCTCGATGGCTCGGTCGAATATGGCATCAAGCTCTCGAGCACACACACGCATATTCTTCACAAGCCCTTGAAGATCGAACCTCGCTAGCCACGGGAAAAAATCCGAAACATTAGGCTCACCTAAAAGCCTAGTTATCTCAGAAATCACTACTTTAAACTCTGTTCCAACACTTTCCATCTCCTCTGCTTTCACTGAACCTCCCCATAACATATTCATCGTTAGATTCATCGTCGTCAAGAACAACTGTTCTCCAACGTTCACCGGCGAGTTCTTTCGACCTTGCTCGTATAGATATCTAGTTCTTTCCCTGATTTCTTTGCGTCGAAGCTCGTAGAAAGAATCCAAAGTTTTGCGACTAAGAAGCTTGAGAACACAAATTTTTCTAAGCATTCTCCACTCGGCTCCGTATGGTAACCAAACGAGGTCGAGACCGCCATAGGTAATGGTTCGAGCGGTGATGGGAACGTCATGGTTTGAGAAATTGATGTCTTGATCTTTGAAGATCTCTCGAGCTAAGGATGGAGAGTTGACCACGATGGTTAGTTTTGAGCCAAGATTGAGTTTGAAGATTGGACCGTGACTTTGAGCAAGGCTTGTGAAGTAGGTGTGAAGGTCCGGATCAAGAAACGGAAGGTTTCCGACTATAGGTAGCCCTCGCGGTCCAGGCGGTAGAGGCGGTTGCGGTTGTTGGCGTTTGAAAAGATACCAAGAGATCGAGAAGATAGCGGTGAGGATGATAATTGCGTAAGGAGTGAGATTGATTGTTTTGTCGGAGATGAGACTTAAAATCGGAGACATTTTTGGAGAGTTTTAAGAAAATACGATCTTTAATATTTATTTTATACCGTAGATTCATCTTTACAGTTATTATATATATAGTAATAAATTAATGAATGGCAAACGCCAATCTTGACTATTATTATTTTATTTTTTTGGTCGGCAAGCTGATAACGTTTGAGCGGATGATAATAATATTTTTCAAAACACTTGATTAATTTTTGTTTTTAGTCGCGAAAAATGAAATGGGCCCAAAATACAATAATTATTTTCCTGGGTTAATTTATGTAATATACCATTCATGAAAAGAGTGTTTGTGTAGTGAGATTGACTGTTAGAATCTTAAGAAACTAAAAAAACAAATATTGAAATAAACATTTTTGTCTCATCGTGAAAAAAACTTAACCGGCCGGTTCAACCACAACCTGGTAGCTCTCCTATGGCCATGGTGGTGCAATGGAATAGAGATTTGGTTCGGACCACCTTGAGATATGAATTGGAATGAGTGATTT